ACTCAACTCATTTATAAACAATATGAAAAACGGTAAAAATTAATTTTCCCATTAACATTCAGTTAAAAAACCTATTTAAAACCAAATTTTGAGAAAACCGTAAAACCACCACATTTATTGATAAAGAGTTAAAACGATAAAACAAAACTAAAAAAATGAAAAAAAAATAATAAAAATAACATATAACTTAATACAAATTATGATCAATTTCTATTTTTTTTTTCTTCTTTACATTCATCTCTTTCCGAAGAAATTAAATATAAAATAAAAAAAATAACCATAAATAAATTCAAAATTTCAATTTCAATATTAATAAAGAAGAATAGCAAAATAATTCAATATTATCAATAAAAAAATATTTATTACAAAATTGGATAACTTATCATATTAAATATAGATAAAATATTTTTAAAAAAAATTCCTACCGTGGATTGTAAAAGAACAAAATTCAAAAACTTACTTAAAGAAGACGGCTCGTAGTAGAAAATTTTTGTCAAAATGGCTCAAAAATTATATAAAAATTCTAAAAAAATTAATTAATAAAAATGAATATGAATCAAATAATATGAAAATATAACAATTTGAAGAAGTAAAAGTTTCAAAGAACAACACCCTCCCTCTTCGTGAAGAAAAAAAAAACCCTTGCACACCCTGTAAAACTTGCCTGAAAAATAAAAAGAGAACATCCCGTAAAACTTGGCTGAAGAATTTCTGTAAAACTTGCCCGAAGAAATAAAGGGAGAACACCCCGTAAAATTTGGAAAAAAAAAAAAGAAAAACACCCTGAAAAAAAATAAAGTTTTTGTTGCCCGAAAAACATCACCCTTGCCTTGCCTGAAGGAAAAAAAAATAAAAGAAAGAACACGCTGTAAAAACTTGTCTGAAGAAATAAAAAGAGAACACATTGTAAAAGAAGAAATAAAAGAAGGACACCTGTAAAACTTGCCTGAAGAAAAAAAAAAAAAAAAGAAACTTGCCTGAAGAAATTTTCTTCTCGGATGGCAATCTTCTCTAATAAAAGAAATAAAGTTTCTGTTGCAAACAACACCCTTGCCTTGCCTGAAGAAAAAAATAAACTTGCCTAGGAGAACACACTGTGAAACTTGCCTGAAGAAATTAAAAGAGAACACCTGTAAAACTTAACTTGCCTGAAGAAAAAAAAGAAGAATACCCTGTAAAATTTGCTTGAAGAAATTTTCTTCTCCGGATGGCAATCTTCTCCGATAAAAGAAATAAAGTTTTTGTCGCCTGAAGAACACACCCTTGCCTTGCGTAAAGAAAAAAAAAATAAATTACCCTTCCCTCACATGTCTTCTTTTCTTTCTTCTGGCACCAACAGATGAATGGTGTTGAACGGATTGTATATATATATATATATATATATATATAAAAATCAATTTTATCGACTAACATTGAAACCACCGTACCACTATTTCAAAACCCCATACCATTGCATAAATTTACAAAAAGTGGGGTCCATTTTTGAACTGTTATATATATATATATGATATGATTACTCACTAAAAATTTTTACAGATGTTATATTCGCTGTCCAAATACAAAATGGTAAATTATATAACACCCTCTTGTGATTTAGTAAAAATGAACAAAACACTCTATATTTTATTTGTTGCGTGAAATTTCTTGTGTTAATTTAAATTTTGCACTAAACACTCTATTTGTCCAAAATTGAATTTTGATTTTAAATAAAAACCTAAAATAGTTTTATACAAATAAAAAATGCAAAATATCTTAAATAATCTTTTTGAATACAATAAATAAAATAAATAATTTAATAATCCTTCATTTTATAGCTTTTAAGACAAATGGTTACCTGTTTTTTTTATAAAAACTACAAAAATAAATGATTGATCAATTATTTATTTATTTTATTAAAAAAATTATTTAAAATATTTTATGTTTTTTATTTGTATAAAAATTGCATAATTTAGATCTTTATTTAGAACCAAATATCAATTTTGGCAAGAAAGATGTTTCGTGCAAATTTTACATTTACTAACTTATATTTATTTATTTCAATACCAATACATCAAAATTAAAATATAAAGACAAAAGATTTTTTTACACACAAAAATACTATATTTAAATACTACTCTTTCTGTCTGAGTCATATATATATATATATATATTTTTGTCTGTCCAATTCAAATGTATGTATTCTTAAGTTGTGAGTTTCTTTTGAAGCGCCTACTACAACTGCTTAAACATATTAGGTTCCTATAAAAGCAGTTACCTTTCTAACTTTCTTTCTCATTTTTTCTTCAATTGGTGAGGCTAGTTTTTTTAGAAAAATATCTTTAATTAAATACTAAAATATTTTAATATTTTATCATTGTTTATTCAACACCATTAATATCAATATAAAAGAAGATAATTTACACCTACATAACTATAAAATAATACAAAAGTCAAATAAGTTCATAAGTATTATTTGTTAAGTAAATATAAATCCATCGAATAGACAAAAGTAAACATATTTTTTAGTAAAAATCTATTGGTATAATCCACCCATATTGATATGTCTCTTCTATTTTCTTATAAAATATTTAAAAAATTATAAAAACTATTCTATCTAAACATTATAATTCCCCAAAAGATATTAATCATTCTTATCGACTAACAACAAAAATTCTATTTTCCTAAAACACTAAAACTAGCATTATCTTTCTAAAAAAATAACATACTATATATAAATATTCACTCTACACGATTTTTAATAAAAATATACTATTTTCTCATATAAAAACATTATTTAACCAAAAATTTAATTGAACTTTTTATTTTAAATTACAATAAAATAAATATTTTCTATTTGAAAGAGTCCATTCAATATATATACATATATTATAATTTTCAAATTTAAGATAAATAATTGTATTTATATTAAGTCAAATTAAATACAAATGGTGGACATACATGTAAGCAAAACCAGGGCGCATTTGTCATTTTCTACCGTATTTATTTTCAAAGTCCTCTGAACGGCCACAAATTGCTCGGTCCGTCTTGTATGTTTGAGGGATGTGGGTGTGAGAGAAGAGATAAAAAAAACATATTGGAGAAAATAGTTTGAACAATGTCTCGACTACACCAGACTTTCTTCAAAGAATTTAGTTTTTTGCTTGAAAATTTAACTAAGAGCAAGCTCAGGGGTATATTTGTAAAACAGCTTTCATAGCACACGTGTTCAACCAATCATCTTAAATCGTCTGATTTGATGCTCACCTTAGGAGGGTGTCAAAATTAAATCTGACCCAAAATAAAAAAAGGGAACTCGTTTGATTTGAAAATTTTCAGGTTCGAATTTGGGTATTTTGAGCTTGCAAAAAAATCGGTTCGATCCGAACCTAAAACAAAAAAGATTTGTGTCGATGTTCGGATCGTGTTCCCGGTTGACCTGATAACCCGAAATATAAAAGCAAGTCATGTTTCGAATTTCGTGTTTCGGGTTGACTTGTAATTATTTATTATTATTATTTAAATTTATAATATTTTAAATATAAAATAATATTAAAAATAAAAATAAAAATAAAAATGAATTTTTTTAAGTTTCGGTCTGTTTCGTACCGGGTTCGCGTCGGGTTTCTTCGGATTTCAGGTGACTTGAAACTAATTCAGGTCAACCTGAACCCGACCCAAACGAATTTGTATCTTGTTAGTCTAGAGTTTCAAGTCAAATTTTGGATTTAGATTGGGTTCAAGTTGACAATTTTTTTGTTACCTCGTAACTCAATCCGACAAGAACACGATCAAAGAAGACAAATTGACACCCCTACCTAGTTGCAAAAAGAAGGAAAGAGAAAAGAGAAAATCGGTGGCCTTGGGCATGGACCGCTCCAAACTGTTCCCAAGCCGCGCCGAAAAAGTACCCTCCAAATCTGCATTAATTTGTGACCTGAGAGAAGCAGCTTCCACAAAGGAGAAACTTTCTAAAATTGCTTTACTGCGTTTGCTGTAATGTATGGTCGATTTTTCAAAGCCTAACCAAAAAACCTCTATTGGAGAGGCCACGGCTTCTAAAAAATAGTCAAATGTTGTTTGCCCTTAAAATTATAACTCACAACTCACAACTAAGCAAATTCTAAATATATCCCTACTTTTACTTTTTGATATGATTTCCAATAAATTCTATTCCCTCCATCCCACTTTTCATGTTCATCTTTTTATTTTCATCCGTCCCATTTATTTGTCACTTTCATATTTTTAAAAATAATTAATACACTTTAATCTTATTTTAAAAAATTTAATTTATATTATTTTTTAATTTTAATTATACTAATAAATTATTTTAATCTTAATTTATAATTATTTTTATTATATAATTATTATTTTCACTAATACATTTTTAATTATTTACTAATTATACACTTCTTAAATTCCCGTATTTTGAGGGACTACTATTTATTTCACAAAACATTGCATCTAAACCATTATTTATAAAAAAATCAAAATCAAACTCCACCAACAACTTAACATAAGGGTGGGAAAAAAAATACCAAAATACTGCACAAACCATACCGAAAATACCGAAACTTTTAGTATACCTAAATTTTCGGTACCAAACTTTTTCAATACGGTAACAATATATAGTTTCGGTATATATTAAAAATACTGTATATCATTTTTATATTTCATATTCGGTATATTGGTATATATGGTATATACCGAAAATATATCAATCGTACCGAATTTTTGGTATACCGATTTTTCAGTAAACCGAATTTTTGGTAGGTACTAGTACGGCAAACTACCATACTGAATTTCGATATGATATAAGGTATAAAATTCGGTAAACCATACTGACACATCTCTGATTGTATACTCCTATCCCAATACTTGATACTAAATATATAATGTTTAAGGTGTGTATTTTTGTACTTTAAAAACATCATTTCCAAAACCTAATTTCTATTAAAAAAATTTCATATTCGAAACACTTCAAAGATATTCAACTAACAAACAACCACTCTTAGGTTGTTGACATCTCAATTCACAAAGCATCATCAATGGTGGTCACAAAAAGATTGACATAAATTTCACAATTATTGGCTAAACTTCTTCAACTAGAGATGTTGAAATTTTTACTCAACAATCAATGAGAGATTGTTATTGCACAAAATTTCCATAAATTCCTCATCAAGAATGAATTCATCTGAGTAGAAGGAAGCCAACTTCATTTAATTAGGAAATGAAATGCATCTAAATAAAGCAATCTACTCACTGCGTGGCCTCGGCTGCAGTCCTAGATTGGATCTTATATCTTCGCCTAAAGCCTTCATGTCATCAACCTGAAAGATTCACAAATGTTTATTTCAGATAACGCATTTTCTTCGCCTCAGGCAAATTAACCGAACTGAGAAATTCAATAAAAAGGCCCGGCCAGTTTTTACTACAAACACAACAAAGCATGGTATAGAAACAGGTGTTGCGTAATAACAAATTTTGTTTAAATATATTTTCGGTATGCAAGAGAAATATAAAGAGTTCAATAAATCAATAATGTTTACTCCTATTTTAGTTTAGAAAAAGCTATTCCTTACTCATAAAACTTGAACCTTAAACCTTAAACATAACCATCACTCTTGACCTCTTATTCACTATTACGGCATTAATTCAATTATCCAAAGTTATTGTATCTATATGTCTGTGTGTCATATATGCACACCGAACTAACTACTTACATCCCCAAATATATTAATTTGTTAAGAATGTGAACCTAAAATATCACCACTTAAAAGGTCCTTACATTTAGACACGATGGGTGTGTTTGATTTGTATTTGTCTTTGCATATAAATCGTGGTTCGATGTGATGTTTTGCGAGAAGATATAGTGCGTTTTTATAGAAAACAAGAGAATCGCCTAGTAAAAAAATTGAAAAAACCCTCAAAGAAAACAAAGCCATTAATATTTTTGTATTGACTACATTTACCTCGAACAAAGGAGCAACTATAGAAACAATAATCAATAAGGGAACAAAACGAGAGGCCTCATGTTCAAATTCCATCACAACCCATTTTCCAAAAGACTAACCACAAGCGAAGTTTGCAAAAAAGATTGCGCACACATACGCAAGAACTCCTATTGGATATACACACATAATATTATACAATTTTGTAACAACTTAAAGGTTTTAGGTCAGAAAGTCACTCTAACAAAGTTAAAGCTTCATTCATTGCAATAGTCCTCAAACTATAACAAGTTTATATGCACACGAAATTGACATCTTCAACCACCAAGACAACATTCACCCTCAAACACATTTCACCATCATTCTAAATCAATTCATAGACATCTTTGTTTCAAAAATTTTCATGAACTTGCAGTAAACATCAGATACTCTTCACCTAAATTGTTTTCTCCTTATTAGCTTAGACACTCATCATCTTCACCAGAATCGATAAATTCCAATCAGAAGCAGCTTATTTCAATTCAATGATGATATGAACACTTATAACAAATCAATAACCATTAGCATAATCCAAATGCATAATTGAAACACATATAATCCAGATAAAATATCAAACACACTTGGGAAATTGAAAATGTAGCTCCAAATCAAAGCACAAATCCGGAATTGGAAATAGACAATAGCTTTTAAATCGAAAGAATTCCTCTCAACAATTAACAAAACCTAGCCTCAATTCAATGAAAAAAAAATACACGGAGACTACTTCGTAATTGAACTCTCACCGAGCGCACGCCGGAAGCTCGAAGGGAAGCTGTGGCGGAGGTGGCTGCAGCGCCGACGAAGAGCGAAGCAACAGCGAAAGCCTTAAAGGGCATTAAGTTCGAATCGCCGGAATATCCTTTCCGGAAGGCCAAAATCCCCAACACAAACTGGGTCGCGCCGGCGGCCGCCCATCCCCAGTGGTCTCCGATCATTCCATTCGCCGGTTTGCCTTCTTCCTTTTCCTCCATTTTCATTCTCGACTGAAGATTATTTACCGGCGCCGTACTGTCAGGCCATCTGTAAAATGGGCCTTTCAAATTTGGTTAATGGGCTTTAACAATAGACTATTTTATTCGTTAACTTAAAATGAAATAAAATAATTTATTGATACTATTGTCAAGTAAGGTTAAAAGGGCTCCCAAAAAGCCTATATATATATATACTTGTATTTTTTAAAATTTTATTAGTTCAATAATTTTTTTTTTAAATATTATAGTATTTAATATCAAATTAAATATTATTTGTTTAGATTTAATTTTAGACATCATAAATCAACCGTTCATTTACTTTTATGTTTGTAGGATATTTATTATCGACATATGGAATGAGATCACTTAGGCAATTATTATCGACATATGGAATGACATCACGAAAATATTGTACTTCTCAACTTATTAAATTCGAAGCACATAATCATTATTAAAATTTTAAAATTAGTTCGGTTTTACATATATTGAATATTATTTGTCATCATTCGAATGATATTGCACTGATCAAATTTGAGATTGATGTTCTACACAATAAATCAAAATTTATTTTTACAATTATTTTAAATGCACAATTTATCCCTTCTCTTTGTTGCTTATTTTCTTACTTTTTATTTATTAAAAAAAAATAAAAAAAATATATTACAATAATAAAAATAAAAAGAAATTAATAATATAATAATAATAATAATAATTGGATAAAGATTCCAAAATACACCTACCACATTGAGAGTATTGCTTAACATGCAAAGTGACAAGTGTTATTACACTTTGCACCTATGGTCAGCTTCCTCTATAAAAACCTTACATCTCTCATCTCAGTGCTCTCTCATTTTTTCTTCTCCGCTTACCATTTTCTTTTAATCATTTTTTTCTTCTTCTCCACCTTATGTCCAAATACAAGTCAAAACTGTCAAGATCTGATAGTCACAGTTTCGTTTTTATATATGACAAACCAAAGTTGCTACAGTGTTTGATAAGTTTTTACCTTCAAATACAATTTATAAGGAGGTAGCAGCACCATTGTAAGAGTAGGACACTAGATGCCCCTCACCACCATATTACCAATTTATCTCCGATTGGAGTACTAAACATAACTTGGTCGGTATAGATAATATTTTGGCAAGTTGCAACTACAACACCATAGATTCATCGAAAACTCAAGAATTGAGGGCCACATAGAGCATATATCTAAACATACACTCAAATCAGGCAATGGATCTTGTATATCTTGGTGTTGTCCTTCCGAAACCTATTCAACCGAAGAAAATTCTAACTCAAGAGAGAAACCAAGCAGCCTTCGAGGCCAAACAATTGTTGGTCATGGTCTCTGATGCAAAGATCAAGGTTAGACTACCAATTCTTTGTATAGGGAGTATGTTGCATAGATAAGAAAATTTAATTTCCATGTAAATATATATATATATACATATATATATATAATAGTATTAGTTTTAGACTTTAATCTTTTTTATCACATTGTCACGATGGTGTAAGTGAAGGATAATTTAAATTCAAAAACTATGTTCCTGATTTGATGAAGATGGAAGGTATGCTGAATTTTACTTGTTTATACTTTGAATAACTTTTATATTATGAAATAATGATTTTGTGATTTAATATATATATATATGTATATTAATTTTTAAGAAAACTTATATGACAATTTGTTACTCACCATCGGATGCTTTTATGGTTGTGTTGTGGACAACAAGATTTGTCATGTCTAATTTAATTTAATTCTAGATATGACAGTTTGTCACCTACCATCTGATGCTTTTATGCTTTATATGACAGTTTGTCACCCAAAGTTGAATTGAATTTAATTCCGAATAATTTTGGATGTAATTATTATTATTACTATATGTATATATATTAGTAGTTTCTCTAATGCAACATATTCAAATTATAATTTTTTTTTCCAGGAATCAGTATCTCTGTTCAAATATAATTTTGAAAATTACAATTATGAATCACCAATGCACCGTTACTATATCCTTATAGTTAAAAAAAAAAAAAAAAAAGTCTACAAGTCATAATTTTGAGATCACACCCCAATTAATCATAATTTTGAGATCACACCCCAATTAAGTAAGTGTATTATATGCAGTGACATATCTAAATTTTTTAATTTGGTAGGTTTGATAATTAATATAATTAATTTAAATTAAAAATAATAAAGTACATCAAAAAAAAACTTCTATTAAAAGGTATGAAACTTCAAATTAACAATCACTAATGCATTAAATAACTACAAATGTTCACGATGAGATCTCATATTTTGGTATCGATTGACAATATCATCGATACTAACTTTCGTAAACACATCTCTTTCTAGAAAATTAACTAAACAATCATTCAATAATTGATCTTCCATGCTATTCCGTAATTTGATTTTGATAATAGTGATCACTGAAAATGATCTTTCCACAGTTGCAGTTGCTACAAGAAGAAGAACACTAATTTCAATAGCAAATAGACCCGTGTTTCATTTTTCTTTGTCTCAACAAGTTTAATAGAAAGTTCGTTTAGATCCTTCAAATTTCAAAATCTCTCATCACATCAAATATCAGTAATGAAAAATTACCCAATGAATATTAAAAAACCATGAATTCTGCTTCTGAAAATTCTGTAGGATAAAATTCTACAAGCCGTCACAATCTCTTTTTATGAAAAGAAGAAAAGTGATCATAGGGGAAAAATCAAGACATACACATCAATAATTATTTACTTACCTCATTGAATCGATTTTCAAGTTCTGGCAATTGTAGATCAATTACACTCAAGAATACTTCAACTCGAAAATGATGGAGATTTGTCACTTGTGGAGATTTATTTCCACGATAACACCTCTTCCCCATAACAACATATTTTTCTTCATATCAAGAATATCCACCTCATGCTTAACTATAAATGATGTAACTTTTTCCATGAAATTATCCCATCAATTCTCTATCAAATCTTGAAGGTTTTTTTTAATTACCATTAACCATGGACATTGTATTTACAATGTCTTGTTCTATTTTTTGCAAGGCCAAATTTAGTTTATTTGTAATTCCAAATATTGACAACATCAAGTGCGCCACAAAACTGAAATCAAATATCATGAAGTGTGTAAGTGACTTAGGTTTATTTTTGTCTTTTATGTCAAAAACTTTTTCAATAGCATCAAGTGATTCAAGAATCAAAGGAAACAAATGAATCACATTTGCAATTGTTTTAAAATGTAATTCCCAACGAGTATCTCCAGGCCAACTTAATCCAAGCTCTTAATATAAACCTGTTCCTGATTCCATTTCCCCCAACGTTATGCTTGCACAACAATTTCAGCTTGTTTTTCTCGAATAATTTCTTTTTTTTTTGGGTGAACCCCTAACAAAATTCAACAAAGTGCAAGAATATCATTAAAACCAACTAATATCTCTATTCTTTTGAGAAACAACAACAATAGTCAATTGAAGTTGATGAGCAAAATAATGGACATAATAAGCACTTGAAGATTTTTTCAGAATTAAAGTCTTCAAATCATTAATTGACCATCGCATGTTAGTAGCACCATCATATCCTTGGCCTCGAATACTAGATAGTGTTCCATTAGCTGTGACTCTATTGCATCATTTAGAGTCAAAGAAGTAGTATTACCGACATGCACAATGGAAATCTTTCATGTACTTCTCTTTTATTAACATATGGCAAACAAAGAACCATTTACTCCTTATCAACAATGTCTGTCAAGGTTGTTACGGCGGCGACGCCTAGTCGTCCTGGCGGTGATGATACACCGCTAGAATAGGTAGCCATGCCGTCCGGCGAGGCTGGTGGGATGGCGTCGCTTAGGTAACGCCTGGACGCGACGCCATATGACAATTGAGGCCCTAATTATTCTTAAACTCAGATTAAACCAATCCAGCCCTAAACCCAATCCTAAAACCTGAAATTCAGACCTAATACTTACCTTCGTATTAGTCTCACTTGAGTCTCTCTCGCTGCCGCCATCTCCACCGTCTTCACTTCCATCGTCGCTGTCTCATCAGGTAAGCAGTTGTGTTTTATGTAATTTAATGAGTAAATACTATCTAGTTAGTATATTATATGTATATATATATATACACTTAGTGCAGATGCATGTAGGATTTTTTTGTTAGTATTTGCACTGCAGTATATATTATTAAATGTTGAGTAGATGACTACAGTGCGATGATAGTTGGATTGCACTATTTAAATGCAGAATGCAAGACTGGATTTCAGGGTTTAGAGTGAAACTAATTTTTTTGTTTTTAGTGAGTAATATATTAGTTGTGTTATACACTTCTACATAATATTAGTTATGGGCAATTATTTTTTATTTTTGTATGTTATAGTTTCTAATTTAACTTATTTTATTTTATTGATTTTTTTTTAAGTATATTTGATTTTTGTATTATTAATTCTATTTGTATTTTAATAAATGACTTATTAGTTATGTATTTTATTTTATATATTTTTCTCTGTACTAGTTTTACGTTAATGATCGATAACAAAAATGTCAAAGATTTATCAAAGGATCCAACAAGAAAAGCAAAATCATCTAATCCAGGATGGAAGTATCGATTTTGGCCGGATTTGAATAACAAAGATTTAATTAAATGTGCTCTTTGTCATAGACAATGCATTCTGGGGTCAAGAGGTTAAAAAAACATTTAGTTGGTAGCTACATCGATGTTGTTAAGTGCCCTAACACCATAGAAAACATTCGTAAGGAAAGACATCAATTTATGAGCAAAAAAGGTGATGAATAAAACATCGCGGGGTACTACTGAATTTTATTATTTTGAGGATACCGAAGACAATGAGGAGTTAGAAGAAAATTAATCTAAGGGTGCTACGAATTCATCTTCCAAGTCTTCAGTGCATCCAATTTTAGGAACAAGTAGCCAAAAAAAGTTGGTTCAATCAACTTCAAAGTTTTTTGAACCTTCGAGAGTTGGAAAACAAAGTAAGTCAATTGCTACAATGATTCGAAATACTTCTGAAGAGATTGTT